AACTTTATAACAATTTTCTTATTTCAGCTGATCATTGAAGGAATGTGGGGATCAAGCAGGCCTGATGCTGGCTTCATTGCTATTGATGATGTCATCTTCTATGACTCCAAATGTGAAGGTGTGTGTAGCTTGTTACTGACTTGATGCAGCATTTGATTCATATATTGGATTGAAATGCATGTTGGAAAAAACTTTGGTGTGCCAACAAGTTGGCGCCAGATTAAGTTAAATTACCCTTCAGCTAAATAAAAATTTCAAGAAAAATTAGCAGCTTCTGCTGGAGCCTGAGAACCAACCCCAAGTTTGGTTCCCAGGCCCAGCAAGGACATTTTCTGAATAGAATTCTAATCTCTAATCCGTGTCCTTCAATTCTTCCTTTCCTGATTTCCAAATTTTGGATGACTTTACCACTTGCATTTGAATTGTGGACCTGAGCAGATCTCTGTGCAGAGAAGCTTCATTTGCGCAACTCTGAAATCTTGACCAAGTGTTTTATGATCAAAAAATACAACTCTTAAAAACTAGGAATTTTGTCCTGGCCGCAGCCCGGCTGATTGATCGAGTTTTCATATTCTAATCAATTAATTTCCTTATTCAAAGGGTTTTCAATTTATATCACTTTGTTTCAATCTATTCTTTTCCAATCAGGTCTTTCATTTTTTGCTCAATCCATCTTGTAAGATACTTTTGTCATTTTGACATCTTTTTCTCACAATGCAAGCTTTATTTGCTGTTTGGCAGCATTCACAAAATTCAAAACAGTTTTCCCACAACCCACCTCCATTCAACACATTCCAGGAAATGCAAAAATAATTCAAAATTGAATTGAATTGAACAGCAAGCTTTATGTTTTACTTTTCAGTGTTCAGAAAAAAATGAAATGCTTCAAGAATTTCTGTATTATCCCTAAATGATTTTTTCCAATAAGAAAGTGCAGCAGGACTATTACAATTTTTCATTTGTTTTTTTTTCAGTTCTACCAAGCAAGGCCCAGGTGAATGCAGGGGACTGTTCTTTTGACCGGGATCTCTGCAACTACCGCAGAACAGAAGATGGTGACAGGCTAGGCAACTGGCAATTGGCCATTGCTGGGGAAAGGTTGTTGCGCAATATGGCTGACCATACTTATAATAACCCTGCTGGAGGCTATGCCTACTTTGACATATATGACACCAATCAGCGCAAAATCAGGCTCATCAGTCCTGTCATTGAGCCTCCAAGGGATGAAGATGACAGGGCTTGTCTGGCTTTCTGGTTCCATCCATTGGGAAGTGGAGACAGCACCACTTTGCAACTCATGCAAAGAATTGGGGACAGCAATGAAGTGGTGGAAAATGATGAAAAAATGACCCCAGTGAGTCTTTTTTTTACTTCTGCACCTTCAGGGAACTGATGTTTCTGAACAAAAATTAAATTTCCTCTATCTTTTCTCTTATGCATTGCATTCAGAGACATAATGTGAATATTCAAGTCTACTGACAAAGCTGGCGCATTACTCATTATGATTCTTCAGGGAACTGATGTTTCTGAACAAAAATTAAATTTCCTCTATCTTTTCTCTTATGCATTGCATTCAGAGACATAATGTGAATATTCAAGTCTACTGACAAAGATGGCGCATTACTCATTCTGATATAACCAGATATTGAAATAAACACGTTAAGAGTCATGAAACATGTGCTTGACTCTGATGTTAAAACATTCCTGCAACTCCCCTCCCCACATATTATACAAAAATTCAATAATTTAACTGATGATGTGGGGTATCTTGCCAATAAGGGATTTCCTCAGTTTTTTCATGAGTAAAGAGAAGCTGCTAAGAAGAGTTTCTCTTTCATGGTCCTCCCAAAAAGAACCAAGCTGAAGGTTATTAAAAACCAGATTCCTGAAAATTCAGTGCATGAACTGATACTTTTTTTAAACTCAGAATAATAATAGGCTTCACAGTTATCTTCTCCAATAAAGCCTAAATGTTCCTGCATGAGGAATTGTAATGCCACTTTCTGTGCATGCTATTGAATGCATGTCTTCAGAAGAATTAAAAATGCATGGAATGATTGAGGGTGTCTTTGACACTAAAAGTCATGAAACATTTATGAATTCTAGCTGTGGAAGGTGCAGACTCATCAGCTTGACCGCTCCAGAGATGACTGGATGTTTGGCCAAGTGGAAATAGATAATTCCAGGACCTTCAGACTAATATTTGAAGGTATTGCCACCAAAGGAGGCTTTGCCATTGATGACATCCAGATCTACACAAACCAACAGAAAGAAGGCTGCAACAGTAAGTGTCTTTCCTTTTTCAATTTTTCTCATTGAGTATCTTATTTGAAACTGATTTGGTTATCAACATTCTGTGAGCAGCAAGACCAGCATATGCAGCCAATCCAGACAGAAATGGACAAGTGGTGGAAAGCAGTAATGGGAACATCAGGGGACAGAGTGCTGCTTCAACAGATCCTGCTTGATTGTTCTTGGATGATGTTCAATCTAAATCCCCCTGCATTTTCTCTCTTTTTTTTTATAGCACATTCATTTGCAAAGGAAGGAAGGGTTTTGCTTGGTAAATTCAGCACCAACCACAATAAATGGATTGGCAACCCTGAATTTTTAGGAAATTGCTTCTTCTTTGTTCATTTTGAATGTGTTGGGTGTCTAGAACCATGATTGTGTGTGTGCACGGGAACCCTCTTTTTGAACTTCAAGACAAAAAGTAGTAAAGTTTTTACCTTCGAAGTTATGTTAGAGTAAATACTTTTCCCAAGAAACGTAACTTGAAATAAAGTTGTTCACTAAGTGGTTATCTCAATTTCAAACAAAAGCTACACAGGAAAGGATGCATATAAATTGCTTGTAAACTCTTGAAAAGGAAGATTTCAGGTTGGGGAACTTTTACACCATCTATATAATACTGCTCTTGGTTTGGCAACCCTTCATTTTCTATAGCATCAGATTCATTTTTCATTCTGGTTGTTCTATGGGTATTCAGATCCATCATTGTGGGTGTTACATCTTGAAAGAAGCAGTTGGAGTTCTGTTTTCTTTCCTCTTCAGAACTGGGACCTTCAAAAAATTTTCATACATGAAAAGGGTCTTTGCATTCCATTTTTTTATTTCCAAAAAGAAATTGATCATTATACAAATTCCAACAAGGAATGCACAACTTTAAATTGTTCATAAACATTTCAAATATAAAAGTGTAACATTTTTAATTGACCAGGTTATCCCTTGGGGCGATTGGCGCGACATCTGTGTCAACTTCCACAACCGGGGTTTCTTGTGCGGATCTTCTGTACAGTAAATTGAAAAGTTGGCATCTGAAAAAATAACATCCATGTCACAAAGAGAGCTGGAAGGAAGTCCATCTGTGCTATAGGGCATTTTTTAAATTAGCTGAATGGATGGGAAAATGATGGGAAAAGTACCAAACAATTTTTCTTGCATAGATCTTAGGTTGGAAACATCTGTTGTTTGCAATAAAGCCTTATAAAAATCAACTTTCCAAAAATTTATTTTGGAATTTTATCCTGCAATGTCCCCAGGTCGAGTCAGTGTCCTCATGTCAGGACATTTTCATGATTTTTTGTTGAAAAATAAATGTCCCCATGTTCAATCATCCCCATGTTGAGGCATCCGCATGTGGGGGTCTCACTGTACTGTATATGTATAAAAGTAATTCAATTTGTGCAGAGAAATGGAATCTACAGAGTAATACATTTTTCAAACATTTGCAAGAAAATGAACCACGACCTAATTACGAAACCGATGCAAAAGATGTAAGACCGTTCGATTTTCTTACGCTTATACAATAGAGACTCTCTTTCACAACAATTTAGTCTGTATAACAAATTTATTTTAGGGCCCATCAGAAAAGGGTTCTCTTCTCATTCTATAGAGGTTCTCTTCATTGATATTCTCTCCATATAATCCTTATTTTTTCTGGTCCCTTGAATTTTTTTTTGTGGAGAATTAAAAGTCCGCCAACATAAGCTTGATTCGAAAAGACCTTTGTTTTTTGGAATGAGATTGGATGGGGTTTGGGAAGGCATCAATGTACCCAGAGACATCTACCGAAGAAAAGAGAAACCTATTTAGCCCTGCATGGGGGAATCAGGTCAACTGGTGTGGTTCCGCACTGGGGTTCGCGCCGAGAGCAGAGAGCGTGGTTTTGCGCAGGGGGTGAGAGTACGTTTGCTTCCGCCGCCTGACACAAGATGTCACCAACAGCGCCACCAGCACCAACAACAGCAACAAGAAGAGGCCCACGAATACCCAGGCCACTATCTCAAAGGCCTGGCCTCTCCAGACTCTCTTGCCCTGCTCACGGATCAGGGGCAGGGTCCTGTACCAGTATGAAGCCACCTGAGGTGATGCAGAAGGGAATACATATAAATCCACACATATTACCAGAAAAAAAGTTATTAACCTCCAGTATTTCCCTGGGATATTTTCAAATTAATTTTGGCACTATAAATACATTTGCTATTGCATCACCAGAGCACCGCTTCTTTTCTTATTCACAGCATTCCACAGCTACAGAAAGGAGCTTCAAAAAGATTACAAAAGATTTAAAAGTACTGAAATTCAATAAAGAGACACTTTCTGAAATCTTAAAGGATCAAGATAAACTGTTGGCCTTATATGATTTCTCATCAAAGATTCTCTCTAAATTTTTCATTCAACTAAACCTCATACAGAAGCAAGCTGAAGACCTTGTGCTTTAAATAAACTTTCACTGCTACTTTGTTTTCAATGTCAGGAAATGGGTGGGTGTATGCATACATGTCAGATGTCCAGTTTTATTTTGTGGATTGTGTTCTCTTTTATTTTTGTCATCAATTTGTGCTTTGTTTCCTNGGATTGTGTTCTCTTTTATTTTTGTCATCAATTTGTGCTTTGTTTCCTGCTTTGAAGTGATTGAATGTCTTTGAGGAGATTTGGGTTGGGTGGGGAGGGGGTTTGAATGCGGGAGTCTTGGGTGTGCCTTGTGAATGCTGAAAAGCGGCAAATAAAGTGTTCTGTTCATTCATTCATTCAAAAAGATTTGGGACCCCTAAAATTCAATGAGAAGGCTCTTTCCAAAATCTTAGAGGACCAAGTTCAACTGTTAACTTTATATGATTTCTCATCAAAGATTCTCTCCAAATTCTTCAATCAACTAAATCTTATCTGGGAGCAGGCTCAACACCGTGTGCTTACATTTGGGTTCAGTAATTGCCTCTTGCTGTAATTCTCATTACAGTACTGACATTTGGTTTTTGTTATCAGGGAAGGGAAGAAAGTGTACGTATTTACATCAGTTGTACAATTATGCATTTTGGGACATATTTTCTTTTCTTTCAATATCCATATAAAGCTTATTTCTCCATTTTCCATTCTGATGTGATGGATGGTATTTGGGTGAATGTTGGTGGGGAGTGGAGGGAGTTTGGATGCAGGAATATTCATTGAGCCTTGTGAATGCTGAAAACCAGAAAATAAAGCTTGCTGTTTAATTTTTTCCAAACTTTTTCTTGTTTTCTGCTAAATCATTCTACTTGAAAGGTCTCACACATCTTGCTGGACTTTTGATTCGACTAAATAAAGTTTGACTAAAAACTTTTTCAACTTAGGATTCCTGATGATATACAAAATTTACGAATGGTACCCAAACATTAGTCGGTAGTATCCTTACAACTGGTGTCTATTTAAGTTCGATGGGACCGGTTTGAGTAGTTGACCCCGGGTCACATCGGAGTGGACCGGTACCACATAACCGGGAACATATCCCAAACGTCTGCAAGGAAACCCCTCCTAGTTGTCATTTCAAATTGGCAGCGTCAAAAGCTTATTTAAAGCATATACCCTTCTCTTGCAAAAGTGGTCCAATATGTTGTCAAAGTCTGTGACATCAACTGCATGCTCTCAAATGATACCAAGGCTGGTGGGAAGACTATTTCACCATATTCATTATGTCCACTGGAGAGACCATGAATGTGTGAAAAGCTAAAGAGGTACAGCAGATCATCACCTCCACTTGTCCCTGAAATCATCACAGGGATATTATCAAATCATATTCAATGGATGACATCATGTTTAGAGAAGAAGTTGCATTTTTTAGTACAACATTTATTCACACTTCTCAAATCAGAGAAAAAAGGGTCTGAGGAATGTTTCTCACCAGTGTACAACAAGTTAGAGTTTAAACCCTTGCTCTGAGACTCCCTGGAGTATTTGTCTGAAAAAGATGGTGTCCCATAGTCTCTATAAGAGAACACATAGCTATAAATTTGCATGTCTCCTCCATTCCTTGCATGCAGTCTCAGTGTCTCCTGTTTGCATGACTCAAACATTCCATCAGTCAACATCTGGAATACACAAAAAATATATCTGAATGATTTTCCTATGTTTTAATTGCTATTCTTACAGCTCACATTTGTGAAAGCCCTCATGACTTGATCCTGATCTCCAAAATTGGTCAAGTTGAAGTACTGCTCATAAATGGCATCAATCATTGGCTCAACTTCATGTTCATGCCTGGTCATGTAGTGCACCAACCTGGGCAATACTCTGTGCCTGAGATGCTCCGAAGATCTTGCATCTTCACCAGCATCAAGATAAGTCACTAATTATAAAACTCAGATTATAGTTACAGTAGATTTTTTTTAATTTTCATAGCAACATCATTTACTGAGAAATTGGAGCATTCCCTCATCCTGAGTGGTGCCAATGATCATGGGAATCCTGTTAAATTGGCCATGGGTCACAAGTCTGTAGGGATGATCTGGCAGGACTGGATCATCCCTGAACTTTCTATCTACAACTGGACCTGCTGAAAACTGCTGAAAGTAACCATACTTCTGCAAAGAGCAAGAACAATAATATTGAGAGAAGCTTTCTTTATTAGATGGGTTTTCACATACCCTCAGTTTTTCTTGGGCATCAAGAATCCTGGTCACTGGTGCATCTTCAAGACAATCCATGAGGTCATCAGAAGACCATGGGTCTCTGCAATTCACTTCAACCCCTATCCTTCTTGCAAAATCCCAGGGGTCATCTTCTATTGCCCAATTACATATTGCTGCTCCACTTTGAAGAATCACTTGATCAAAGAGCCCTGAAGATGAAAGAAATTTAAATTATTTGATTAAGCTTTTATAAATCTCATGAATTGTCCCTATATTGAAGCAAATACTGAAGTACATGTCATATGATAATTTATTAAAATGTATCCTTCCAAGTAAACAAAACTATTGACAGTATTTTATATTGTATGATCTGTATTTCATATAAAATTGTCAAACTATGTAATGAATTTCTTCACATTCATGCATTTTTTACTTTTCAAAATTATGAACATGCTTTAACGGTTGACAAATTTGAAGAATTTATTTTTAAACAGCAGTTTTGGTTTTGAATGTTGTTCAAATAATTTTTGGGGCAAAAACCCAATTGATGATGTGCTGCTTATTGTTTGTGAGAAATATCTAGATAGTCATCCTTGCATTCAAATGTGAATAAAAACTGTTCTTGAATTTTTTTTAATTAGGAAAGAAAAAATAGAAACTTACCTCTAGCCCTGGGTGAAAGCATTAGCAAGTGGGCAGCAGCTGCTCCAGCTTGGTGCCCAAAAACAGTCACTTTATTTGGGTCTCCTCCAAATGCCTGAATATTTTGTTTCACCCATCTAAGGGCTTCTATCTGGTCAAGCAAGCCCCAGTTACCAGGGTTTTCCCTGTCATTTGTACTCATGAAACCTGAAATCATGTCAGTGCATCACTCATGTCCATTCCAACTGTCAATTAAACTGGGTTTTCAAACTCACCCAAAACCCCTAGCCTGTAATCAAAAGTCACCAGGACCACATCATGTCTCATCAGGGGCTGGGGACCAAATTGCTGAGCTGCTCCAGCAACAAAGGCTCCTGGCCCATGAATGAACACCATCACTGGTAACAGGGCCTTTGGGATTGGGTTAGGATAAAACCCTGGGGCATTGATCTGAGGCTGCAAGGGAGGTGCCCTGGCTTCAGGTGCAAAATAACTTCTTGCAATATCAGTATCATTCCCAGCAACATTCAGCAATTCTACATCCAGGATATCTTGGGTTGAAGGTGTAGGTTTCTGAAGAGGGCTAATGGTTTGTGTGCTTGCTGATCTTGGGAACCTTACTTTACCAGGCTTGGGAGTCTGTTGAACAGTGGCTTCCTCTCTGAAATTTTCAAAACAAAAATTACTTTTCAACATGAGGGAACATGTGGAATAAAAGTTTTTTTTGAAATTTCAAATTCAATAGTATTAAATGTGAAAATCAAATTTTTTGAGTTTAATTTGGAAAACCCAACCTTGTGCCATCTCCTGTAAGACTCAGAAGAATGTCTTGGATGCTTTCAGGAAATTCATTCACTGTCTCAGCACTGTCTTCCTGTTCAAACAAGGGAATCTGCTTGAACCTTCTTTTCCCATTGGTTGAAGGTACATAGTTTTTCTGCTGAACTCTTCTGTCAATTCCAGCAGGGCCTGCTGAAGCATCTTGTCTTCTAAATGGTGGATGTGGGCTCCCTGAGAACTGAAACCCTGGGTTATAGCCTGGGGGTTCAGCAAAAGAGCCAAAGTTTTGGCCACCTGTGTTTCATTATTTTCAATGAGTAAATTTTTATATGTTTCAATTTTAACAGAGTTTTTTTTTTTACCAAATGCCATCTCAGGAACAAACACATTGAGGTACAAACAGTCTTCATCCCCAAGGTGTGACCCTGTGACAGGATCCACCTGTGGACATGGTCTCTTGTACTCTGTGGCTTCCAGGGTACCACTCCAACTACCATAAGGCCTAGGCTCCTATAAAAACATGAAACAATGTTTTAAATACCCCCATGAGGAGTCTGTATTAGAGGGCTTCACCATACTATACTTACCCTGAACCTGTAAATTCCACTTGGGGGTTTAGCATATGGTATGCCACGGAAGGCCAAAAATGGTCTTCTGTAGTTTGTTGGTGGACTTTGAACACCAGAAAGAAGTCTTCTGCCCCTCACAGCCCCCAAACCAGGCAATTGAAACTGCACAGGTTCTCCAAAAAAGCCATTTCCTATATTGCCTCCTGGTAGTGGTGGTGGACCATAGTTTCCAGCTAGGGTACCACCAATCATGAAAAGAACCACTAGCCCAGCAATGACCACCATGTTGCCTGTTTGCATGTAACTCTTCTGCAAGAGGGATGTTATAGAGGGAAATAATTTCCTGTTTTCCTGGCAAAAGTGATGGACCTTATAGTTTTCAAAACTGTTATCTACCATCAACCAAAAATACCAATAACACAACAATTAGGAAGAGATTGTCTGCATGCATCACATGAACTATTGATGCATCTGGAATTTAACAGAAGAAAATCATTTCTTATGTGGGAAATATTCTTTAGCAAAGTACATGCATCAAGAGAAGCAATGAAGTCTGTTATCTTTATCTGAAATTATGGAAAGCAATGGCAGATTGAATTTTCTGGTGAAATATACAAATTTGCTTTTCTCCTAATAATAACACTTCAGACAAATTTTCACCTGCAACTGGAATAAATTATTCAAGTGATTAATTCTGAAAAACCTTTCTACAAGTCCACCTTTTGAATTTTTGATGACATTCCACTATAGCTGCTTCATTGGATCTTTAATTAATCTTTGAAAAAATGCAGACATTTTTAAAATCCTTGTTATGAAGTCTTTTAAGCAAACATTTTTGGGTCTTCAAAAAATGCATGACACTTTGCCAGTCTGCAATTTTTTTTAATTTGCCGGTCTGCAACAAATTCCATGGAAATTTGCTGGCCCAAAATGGTTCAGGAACATTGGTCTCTATTCCTCTTGAATAATAATCCAACACCAATAATGTCAAAAACTGAAGTACAATATTTTCTCTTGCTTCTTGTGAAATAGTTCATGGGAAAGGTGGACCATTCAGGAAAAATTCCACCAACTAAAAGAAATATTGCACTGGCAAAAAAACAACCATGATCTACTATTTATTATACAAATATATTCCATCAAGTTTATTGTGATGCAACAGCAATGTCACAGAAGGAAATTATTAAGTGACTGAAGAAGGTGGTCAAGGGACAATGAAGATATGATTTCAAAGCATCCCTTGACAGCAGTATGCAAAGTCATGGTGCATAAACTCCAACCAGGCATTTCCAAGTACCACTTTGTTCTTTAGATGAATGGGGACAGTTGGAAAAAACTAATTAGCTGCTGAGGAAGTACTTCATCAAGTCATCTATCAGTACTTTCAGTCACCAACAACTGGCTGCAATTTATTATTCTCTTTTCTGGAGGTCGAACTTGTTGAAGCAACTCTCTGAAGGTCGTTTCAAGGAACTTCTTAAGAATCCTCGTCCTTGCAACCGACGCCCTTTTCAAACAATGTTGCTGATTCAATTTTAATATTTGATGGCAGATATTTTGAGAGAAATATCTTCACAGATTGAAATCTTATATATCCCTCGTGAGAATTTCTCTACTATTACCCAAAGATTCAAAAAAAATTGTTGCTGTTTTGAATATTTAGATTTTTACACATTTCAGAAGAAAAGTTTATGGAGAGGAAGGTTTGACTGATCATTCGAATCTTTGCTCTTAACTTTGCAAAGTTTGAGGTTGAAAATTGGCTCCAGAACTTCAACTTTAAAGATAAAATCCATTAATATGAAATACCTCTACCAATTTATCTTTTAAAAGCTTTGAAATATGCGCTCAGAATTTTCGATCCAAATTTTCAGTGTTGAATTTGATTTTTTTTCGCGCAAAATTTTGAGCTTTTTCACTTGAAGGTATTTTGGAGTCTTTATAACGTAAGAATTTTTGGGGTTTCTTTTTTTTCTGTGTTTTGCCATCCGAATTTTGGCGACTGCTTTGTTCCGTTTTTGACTGCCTTCAAAAATTTGAACAATAATCCACTATAATTACTTAAGAAATCCAGTCAATTTTATTGCAATGGTGAGGAAACCATGTTTTGAATTTATCACATGCACGTGGGCAGGAAATTTTAAGTAGTAATTTTTCAATCGAATTTAATTTCGGGCAAGGCACTTCCTTTTCAGATGCACTTCCTTTCGAAAATGACCAAAGGAATTGCAACATTTCGTGTAGAAAAATCTGCAGATTTCTAGATTCCTTCATTTTGACATTTAATCGCACAGCAGTATAGAAAATGGTTTCAGTCTTTTGTTAATTTTCCGTTATTTGTGAAATTTTTACATTATTTCGTGCGTCAGGCAGAACATCATAACTATAATGTATCATTTTGGCAAATGCCAATCGATTGAATCTTAGCCTAATAAACCGAAAAACAAGTCGACTCTCTGAATGCACCAAGTTTCTTGAAATTTATTTAAATCAAGATTTCTGTCACAACTCACAATTCAGCACCAGAAAATTGAACCCGACCTAATCGACATTAAACTCGAAAAAATATTTTATAACGCTGTCGACACCCACATATTGGATTAAAACAATATCTTGAGAATGCATATTTTGTGAAAACCGGTGTGCAAAAAAAAAACTGCAGAAACATTTTTTTCCCTTTCAAAAAGCTGAAAATTTTCCAACGTTCGACACCGATTCACAATAGAAACTGGTTGGAATTTTTGCAGCACGTCGTGGTTTTTTTCTCCGTATTCTGTAAATAATATACTCGTACAACGTATATATGCTTGTCGTCAGCGCGCGGATTTTTTTTTCTTTTCTCCCTCCAACAACGTTTTGCCTTCAGCATCCGGAAGATTTAAATTGGAATGTGTGCAGATAACAAGAAGAAAAGAAAAAAAAGAAACGAGGATTTCATTTGAATGCGTGTCTTTTTATTTTCTGTTTGAGTTATATACTGTATATTGCTGTGTTTCCGCCCCATTTCTTGTTAAAAGAGTCTCGGCTGTGTTTGCTTCCTGCGACGACATCCGCGCGCAAACGCACTTTTGTGATGTTGCGGCCTTTTTTTTCTTTGTCGCATTTCAGAGGAATCCCCCCCCCCCCAAAAAAAAACGTGGTTTTCTTCTTTGCCTGTGATTCGGAAATTTCCTGGGATTCATTTTGGTAACGTTTTACGCATCGACTCTCTCCACAGAGAAATATTTAAGAGGTCAGAAAAAAATTCTTTGCAGAGAGAGTTTCGTTGTTGAGAAAATTGCATAAATGCAGAAAGAATGTCACCTATGGAGCCCCAAAAAATCGATACACATTAGACAGTACAGAGAAAATCGTTGTAGATGAGACCTTTTTCTACACATAGATAGTCCATCACTTGTATCCCAAAAATGATTTTTTCTCTCTCTCTCTAGTTTTCACGTGAGAGAAGTGAAGTAATTATAAATCATTGAAACTTTTACCCTCAGGCCAATGGATTTTTGCTGTACTTTAATGTATAGTGATGAAGAACTGCATGTACAGTACAATAATGAACTGGGTGTGGAATGAATGGGTGTATGCATACATGTCAGATGTCCAGTTGTATTTCATGAATTGTATCTTCTTCTAATTTTTTTTATCAATTTGTGCTCTGTTTCCTGCTCTGAAGTGATTAAATGTCATTGAGTGGATTTGGGCTGGTTGGGAAGGGGGTTTGGTTGTGGAAATCTTGATTGAACCTTGTGAATGCTGAAAAGCGGCAATTGAAGTGTTCTATTCACCCATTAATTCATTCATTCAGTACAATAATGTATGAAGAAGTCAGTGCAAAGCCAAAAAAAAAGAAATCAATGATAGGAAGCAATTTTCTCCTGGATGAATTGTTCCCTTCTTTGTAGTTGAACAACATGAAAACCCCAAATTTTTCTGTGAATAAAATTTGGGTTCAAAGGTTTTGAAGTTATTGATAGGATGTATGAAGCAAATCAAACTTTTGTGCAAATTTGGCAGTATTTAAACTTTTCATCTGGAGAGTGACATCTGTTGATGCTCTGAGGTATCTGAGCTACGGTTATAAAACATGAAGACAGAAAATCTTCTCCTTCTGAAATACTGTACCACAAGGAATTTTTTTGTTGCTAAAATAGAGAGCTTTTACTTCTGCAAAAGTTAGATTTTTATGTCTAATAAAGATGTAAACATTCAAATTTTCATCTTCACTTTTCTGCCAGATGCTGGACTACCATTTTTACCAAAATTCAAGAGAAACTGATTTTTTATATACAGTATATGGAGAATTAAATGGTTGGATCTCTCTACCACCAAACTCATAAGGTAACATTAAGAAAATTTGCTGTATAGAAAAACCCTGTAACATACTGTATACAGATTACAGAATCCTGTGGGATCAACAAATAGTTATACTGAGAAAAATCAATGTAGACAAGATTGTTGTACTTGTACAGCACAGAGTCAACAAGGTATGGACTCTGCTGTACAACAACATTCAAGGGACCAGAAACCAATTTTTTTATAGAGAATTCTCTAATGCGGGTGAAAAACTCCACTGCAATTTCCTGACCCTAATCCATTCTTGTACAAGGGTCAAATTGCAAGAGACCTCACAAAATTGAGAGATATCAGCACAGAAATGCAAAAAAGTGGTGAAAGCAGGTTGAATTCATGGGCATAACATAAAATTGCAAATTAGCCCAACTGCGATTTTGACTGTTTATTGCAGGATGTTTGAATTGCAGGAGGTCAAATTGCAAGGCACCACCTGTATAGAGAAAATTGTTGTAGGCAAGATCATTATAGAGAGTCCACCAGTACTTATTTTTTTAAATTTCACCTGTGCTGATGAGATCCCTTCATCATTCACTGAAGAATTTCAAAAAATTTGCAGAAGTTTGCACTTGCTGAGCATGATGACAAAATGCATCTCACTTTTGGGGGAGGAGGGATGTGCATAAGGCTTGAATAATTACAACAATAGGCTTCCAATATATTGTCATCATAAATTGTGAGTCCTCGAACAGCGTAATAATACCCCGTTCTCGAACTGTGTTTCATATGTGAGATCCACCTAGCAACGCTTTTTAGTTCAAGCACCGGAATGTGTTACTTTTGACCGGTCATTCACATGACTCGGTTTACTTTCTGTTTATTCCGGTCTTGCGCGGTCAGTAACCCTTTCCGCGCATACAGTGTCTATAAAGGAGCGTCCGAACACTCCTTTTGTCGCTCATTGCTGGTCTGGACTGTTGTTGTGCTGCATCAGAAATATATGTATTAAATTGAAAGAGAAGTTGTCTCATTCGCTTTACTCCGGTCATAAGATTAAAGCTTCTCGACAAGGATTATCTCAACGAGTAATCATTGGGTANTTGTCGCTCATTGCTGGTCTGGACTGTTGTTGTGCTGCATCAGAAATATATGTATTAAATTGAAAGAGAAGTTGTCTCATTCGCTTTACTCCGGTCATAAGATTAAAGCTTCTCGACAAGGATTATCTCAACGAGTAATCATTGGGTAAAACTTAAAGATCTGAAAACAAGAAGACGTTCTCGTCCAGTTTCTTATAAGGTTTATTTACACCCGACAGTTTGGGATAACAATATATATTACACAGTCCTAGTTTATCTGTTTTTCTTGCTAAAGCATTAGCATACTTAGTTAATAATTTCTTAACTTTGCCCTTAAGATGTTCAGGACACTGCGATCGTTCTAAAGCGTTTTTTATCATGGACGTAATTGTCTTCTCTGATTCCTCTTCCTTACCGTGTATATGTACTATTTTATCATGAATATTTTTGGTGAATGATAATGCAACTAAAGCGTCATCATCCATTAATTCTGCGTGAGCAAGAGTGTATCTAGGGTCCAAAGTTAGTTCGTTTTCTGTTAAATTAATACAAAGTGCAAATGTATGACCCTGAGAGTTTATGGTAGAGAGTGATCTTCCAATAATTAAATTTCCTTCAGAAGCAATTAAAGGATTAATTAATATGTCTTTTCCGTTTAGGATTTTAGAATTGTCTTTTGACATCTTTAATTTAATTATTTGTTGCAATAAGGGGGCAATAATTTGCTTGGATAGAGGGTATAGTTTAAAATTAGGATCCTTATCTTGAATGAATCGGGAAGTTATTTCAATAGAATCTTTTAGTTCAAAAGGTATTTTATGATCGTTAATTTTTATTTCTTTATTTTTGTAACAAATGCGAGCGGCATTATCTCTTAACCAATTGGTTCCCAATATCCCTACAAAGTTTGGAGTACAAGGACAGTCTAAAAGAAGGAACACAATATTACTGATAAATGTATTTCCACTATATAGAGATTTATCTGTAGATCCAAGGACAGAGATACTGTTTCCTTGTAAAGTGTTGATTATCACATTACTGGGAAAAGAGGGATCAGAATTATAATAAGAATCTAAAATGGATATTTCCGATCCTGTGTCGATGAGGAAACGTAAAGGGGGATCCTCTTTCTTAATAGAGATGGTAACAACTGGTAGACGTGAAAGAGAGACGTCTCCAGTCAATAGTCGTTTCCCGAATTGTTAGGTGTATTATAGTCATATTCATTATAAAAGTTGGATTCGATATAGTATTGATCGTCTTGTTCTTGGTCGTAATATTGATCATATTCTTCGTTATTTTCATCATTGGTATTTAAATATCCGAATTCTTCAGTCATCTTGTCTGTTTGTTCATCAAGATTAATTAGGGTTTCTTCAGAATATTGATAATCATCTTCCTCATTATATTCTTCCGAAGGATTATTATTCTGATAACTTCTTTGATCTTCCGTTACATTATAGTAAACACGTCGGGTATTTCCCATGGGTCTTCTGTTAGAATTTCCTGTCCGTCCTCTAGATACAATCCTTCCTCTATTATTGTTTCCTCTTGAAGGATTGCTTTGCCTATTTTGGGGTGAAGATTGGGAATTTAGTCTTTGACCTTTAGGTGGAAAGGTCTTTTTATAAGGGATCTGATTATTCGAAGAATATTGTTGGGAATTGTTGTTTCCTCTGCGCATAGGAGGACGATTGGATCGCCTTATAGATGGACGATTATTTTGTTGATTATTCATTATATTTTGGGATGCGTTCTTATAATTTTGTTGGTTGTTCCAGGGTACTTTATGTGGGCATTCAGCTATGTAATGACCATGCAATCCACAACCATAACATGGTTCGTTATTCGCATTGTACACCTTTTGAGTAAAATTGGGTTTATTAGGAATAGCGGTATGTCTATTATAGGTTCCATTACCTCTTCTGATGTTGAGTTGAAATGTATCACAAGAGTAGGCAAGGCGTCCAGTAGTTATTAACATTCTTTCGATTTTTATAGCTGACTCCACAGCTGCGTCATACTTGTCGGGGATTTCTGCCATTCTTTCTTGTATATGAGGCTGTAATCCAGTGATAAATTTGTTAAGCTTTATTTCCGACGAGAAATTATTTCGACACTGTGAACTTATTACTTCTTGTTCATACGTTGGATTAGTAACAAAAGTTTTTACACCTTCTTGTCTTAGAACTTTTATTTCTGGAATATAATCAGTGTTAAGTCGGCTTGCGGCTAGGTTTAAACACAATGAAAAATCTTGAACTTTCTCGTTTATGCCTTGTTTGATATGGTCTAGAGTAGCGATTCCATCAGCAAAGTTTTTAGGTTCAAAGTAATTTCTTAGAAATCGGATAATAACCTGATAAGGTTTATGATGTAATCCAGTTTCAGATTCTATTAAATTATTTGCCTTAGCATTTACCTTGGAAAGTAACAGATTTTTAATTTGCTGATTGTTCATTGGATTAGCTTGGAGTAATGTTAGAAATCGGGAGTACCAGGCACTCCATGCTATGGTATTGCATTCTCCAGAAAATACAGGTAAGTTACTAATAAAAGCATTGGCAGTCTGAATATTAGGAGGGATAAAGCTTTGGCCTTGTGATTGATTCCATACAACCATTTCTTCGGGAGTAGGAGTGTCTAAGGTACCCAAAAGGGTATTAGTCATTATTGCTTTTTTCAATTCCGTAGTTTCCGCAAGATTAATAGTTTTTTCTATTGCTTGATCCTGGATGAATTGTGCCAATAATGTGTTATTCCTATCGCTTAATTCCTTTTGGGCTTCATGGATCTTTTTTAGACTAGCTCTAGTATCCTTTTCTAATTTCTCTAGATCAGAAATAGTAGATTCCAGGTGAAGTATCTGTGTTTCTATCATGTCTTTACGGGTTTGTCCAGCGTTTGGTAATTCCTTTTGTAATTGGGTTATCTTTTGACGGCGTTCAAGAATAGATCGTTGTAGAAAATTAATTTGGTCAGATGGCGCTAACTGGAGAAATTCAGGAGGCATTTTATTATTATCCAAAGAAGCGGCTGCCAACTTCGATAATCGTGATGCAGATGTATTAGGATTTTGAGAAGGTAAAATACCTGGGTTTTGGGGTGTAATGATTGTAGCATCTAACCCTTCTTCAAGGGTTTCCTCAAATTGTTGATTTTGTTTGCTATTCGCCATTATTATTAAGGTAAGTTTATACTATTATTGGCTGTATTTTACAAATAGGTGGTAAGTCGGTTAGTAAGGGCAAATGGTAAAGAAAGGTCGCTTAAATATTATACACAAAGTACAATATTTAATTGTCCTGGGTTAGTAACATTTATTCGTCACTCTTTAGATTAAGAGGATCTTCTTTTTTACACGCCTTGGTCTCTTCAGGTGTTTCGAAGTCTTCTGGTCTTTTAACAGGTAAGACTAGTTGGACGTTAGAGTGTTTAACAAATTCTTTGAGTATTATAGACTCTGGGGAATCCCCGTATACTAATGCAAAAGCCTTTTCCGTAATCTCTTTGTTATATAGTTTGGATTTTTGAATAGAGGTTAGCGATTCGTTGGATTTAGAGTCTGACATAAAAGTATTGAGTTAGGAAATACTATACTTGTATGAATACAATAAAATTACAATACAATAAGTAAATACAATAAGTAAAATTAAAAATAGATATACAATAGTATTACACAAAAACTCTTTCGCAGGATCAATCAACGTTTCTAGCACACGTTACTTTATTTGACGGGTTTTTTCAAATTTTTCGATTTGTTTAAGTTTTGTAAAAATACCTTGCTTCTTGAACCGTCTCCTTTCCTTGGACGACGTTCCTTGGTCAACTCCACACAGGGCCGTTACCGTTTGAGGTCAACTCCACTACTGGGCAGTTACCTTTTAATTCTGGCCAACTCCTCTTATGGGCAGTTGCCTTTTTCTTTTGGCCAACTCCTCTTGTGGGTAGTTGCCTTTTTCTTTCACTTTGCAATTTCAGCACTTTTTCAATTTCAGCACTTTCGCTTTTTCGGAACTCTAACTTTTCGGACACCAAGAGTCTTGTGCACTAGCTGCACTTAATCCACCCGGCGCAAAAAGGAGCACCGACTGCGCCACTTTTTGTTGTCCGGTTTCCAAAATTAAATAAAAATTTGACAACGTGTCTTGTCTCCTTCCCTGTTAGCTTTAATTCAGAAACCTTCCAACTATTACGTTTTTAAGTTCTCTCCTTGATGTCCGGGAAACTTCTTCAAGTGTCCAACATTCAGTATTTGATTAAGTATAGAGTCCGTATATCTTCAGCAGATATATTTCTATTAACGTACTCGTCTCCTTACGAGGTTGTATACAACACTGAACTCGCGCAGGCGAAAACAATGATTTATATAAACTTTGATCCGTAGTTTGATCGGCGGAATAAAGAACAAGGAAAGGGGCTTTCTATCTTCAAGAGGGATCTGGTCAGCAACAGAGTTTCGGGGCTGAGAGGATCATTTGGTTTTATAATGAAGTAGTTCTTGATATGGATAAGGATAAGAGTTGATGTCGCTGTCGAGGCGTCTCGGGACGCAGAGAGAATATTAAGCATCGTGAATATAATATTACTTTGTTGCAAAGTAATCAATGCATCAAAGGATCACCTGAAAGTTTCGCCTCGGGGTACTTCCCAAGTATTGTCATATTTTGTCACACTGATAACAATCAGTGTTCGCAATCAGTGTCATGGCCGTCTTGCCATTAATGTTTGCCTCCAACTGCCCATCCTTGACCATAATTGTCACCTCGGGCATCAAGGAAGGCACAGCAGCTACAATGTCTTTCTCCTTGATCCCAGAAGAATGCCTGATGACCGCCTCCGTAGTAATTGTAGTCACCTGCGTCACCGGAGACACAGAAGTCATTGTTGTGCTTGCTGAAAAATATTCAGAAAAAGAACCAAAAACAAAAATTGAATAATCCTTCTTTTCTAACAAATTTATTCTTGGTTGACCTGTGAACAAGATACAAAAAAGAACCATGGAGTACTTACGTGGTGGAGTCGTAGTCTTAACATTCTCCTGACAAAAGGACCAAGGACTGATGATCCCCTCCAGGCCACTACGACGCCCAAAACACGCTACTGGCCTCAACAACTGGACCACCTGAGGAGGTCACGGACACAAGTGAAAAAACAATACCTTTTCCACCTGTGAGCTGTAACCTCACCTTTAGACGTCGCAAACAAATGCAGTCAAGAAACAACTTGCTGCCATTAAATATTACCCAACGTCCATGATCCAGAGCCATTATGACGTTGTCCCCACACATGTCGTCACAAACCACGTCACGCCCTTCAAGAACACAAGTACCGGAAGTACTTGCCACCAACACCAACAGCAAAACAACCACCTGCAACATCTGTTAAACAGACAAATTATCAGTTGATCAACAACTCATTATCCGTCTGCTTACCTTTATTTTGTTTGCTATGTGAATTCGCCGAATATTTTTATCGTCAGTTACTATTATTTTTATGATTCGCGTTTGTATATATGTATTCCAATACGTGCAACCACCTGTATCCACCAAAAACTACTGGGAATCTAACCAAGGAACTCTGTAGAAAAACAAAAAAGTCAATGAGGCAAAAGGAAAATCATCTAAAAGTTACAGGCTCACCAAAAAGTCCGTGTCAACAGCTCCGACTGTAGATTGGCACTGCAAGCCTCAGGTTTGATTTTCTGTCCTGAAGAAGGCTTGCTCAGGAAAATGGTCATCAAGACCTGGAAGCGATTGAGTTCTTTTTCTCACTCGCACTTGTACAAAATCGGGCACTTCAAACGTTTGAAAATAACAACAATTCCGCCAAAGCCGAGTCGACGCCTGTCAAACTTATTACCATGCAAGCCCTGATTTGTTACCTAAAAAATGATGGAACCTTTTTTTATTTTTGCCTAGTGTGAGTTTGTAACCCAGAAAATGATTTCCTTCTTTATTCTTTTCCCCTCTCTTATTTGGGTTGAAATCTCTTCTACAAGGTTTTCGGTTCCTTGCAGCTGTTCCCTCTTGTTTTGGTTCCCCTCTTTTTGCGTCAGCCCGCATTAATTTGTGACGCCCGTTTATGTTCTATTGTAATCCAGAAACTGATTTCCTTCTTTATTCTTTTCCCCTCTCTTATTTGGGTTGACATCTCTTCTACAAGGTTTTTGGTTCCTTGCAGCTGTTCCCTCTTGTTTTGGTTCCCCTCTTTTTGCATCAGCCCGCATTAATGCGTGACGCCCGTTTATGTTCTCTTCCTCAATAGAATTGGGTATTTGTTGACAGTGACATACAACCCTCCTCTTTCTGAAGAACTTGCCAATTTAGGAAGAACCTTCTTTCCTGGGACAAGTGTATTTATTAAATGTATTTTGTATTCATATATATATACCCAGATGTATATATATTCATTAGTGTTCAAGGAACCCGCAGTTCCTCAATTTAGGCAAGTATCTTGCCCACATATTTTGTATTACCAGAAGGTATATATATATCTTCTGTACTGTATATTTTCTCAGAATTAATCTAGAGTTGTTCGCCGTTATTTCTCAGAGAGACTTGCAATCAGTTTAGCAAGACTCTCTTCATATCTACGTATCTTGTATATTTTTGTGTGTTTGTAAAACTGAACTTTATGTGACTTNAATGGAAAAGAGTAAATATTCCCCAAGATTATGTTATCGCAAGAAGTAATGAATACTTTAGTGTATTTGGATATGAATTGCCAATATGTCTTCCTGCACTAGATTTCTTTAAATGTCAATTATGTAAATTTAACGTTGTACCCAATAGACCAATCAATCCCTGTGCCGGTTCCATATTAAAAGGAGAAAATGAAGAAGACATAATAAAGCAATGTACTTTGTATACAATTAAAAATCCTGAAGAACAGTTTGAAAAATTAGATGAAGATGAGTTTGCTTTTGTTGACCCAAATCCAGGTCAAATAACACAATATTGTTCAGTGAATGATACTAATCATGAAAATATTTAAGAATTACCTCATACCGGTATATTGCAGTTTCACCCTAATTGTAGATAC